ATTTCATGTTGATTGGTGCAGCTGTTTTTGTGCTACGGTTGACCAAAAATCACTGAAAAAAAAAAACGTACGAAAACAATATGACTCCCACCTACGCTTCGCGTGCGGGGATCRTAATAATACTTGTTTTTTATGTAATGCAGTGTTTCCCCTATTAAATGCTGGTGCCGGAAAGTCATACAATGTTTTGTACGGATAACTATCAGGTTCACAATACTATTATAATTCTGAGGGCATGGCAGCAAATGATTGATTAAATGATGTGCTCTGTCTGTATTTGTGCAGCACACTTGCTTAATATTTATTTCCACAAACATCACATTTGTCTTCATGCTAACTTGCTTCTCATAGAATAAAGATGTATTGTAATTTAGCAAAGTTCTATTGTAAAAATAGAATCATAAGCAAAAACATGCTATTTATTTTCAATAAAAATTCATTAAAAGAATAGAGAAGCCTGATAGTGCCGTCAGGGTCACTGGGTTCAAAAGGTACAAAAKTTCACTCTTAAGTTGCTTCTATACWAAACAGTTTGATGAAATTACACCAACTGTGAATGCGGAACATGATTGACAGCCTAATCTAAAATGGAGTCGRTGTTAGCTCCAAATGCAGAGATTAAATCATTGCAACTGTTACAAATATGAGAAGAAATTGTCTTTTTGGGTTCACTGTCTCCGGCTCTCTTGCTGGCCTGGATCCACAAGATTCTTCTGGTTTTGGCAAATGGCTGAGAACTGCTCAAAAACAAACAGAAAAACCCAACAATCTTATCTTTTTTTTTTTAGTGATCGGTGTAAATAAAAGCCTTGTCAACTCTGTTTACGAGTTTGGTTTGTTATACATACCAGAACGGGTTCTGAGTTTTTCTTAGTTAGGAGTGTCACAAAAAATACATAAMGAAAAGAAAAGTATGAAGTGGGACAGAGGGCAGTGGTTAGAGCAGGGTCACGGGGTCACCTCTCGGCCTGGGGTGGAGTTTGCATGTTCTCCGCCGTGCACACGTTGGGTTTTCTCTGGGTACTCTGGTTTCCTCCAGCAGAGAAAAAAAACGTGCATGTTCAGTTAATCGGTAGCTCTTACTTGTCTAAATTGCCACTATAGGTGTGACTGAGAGAGTGGTTGTGTGTCCTGTTTGTCCTTATGTGTTCCTGTGATGAACTTGCGACCTGTCCAGGGCGTACCCCCCCCCCCCCCCCGCCTCTCAGACAATTGCAGCTGGGGAAAAAAGCTAGGAAAGAAAAAGATGGAAAAAAAGTTAGTCGTTAGCCACAAGAATCTGTCTGTAATACTGCTTTAATTAAGATTTTATTTTTGACAGTATGTATTGTTTCCCGTAACTGTGTACGGTATAACATGATAATTCCTGTGGTGATGCTGACTTTATCAAATATTCTCTTTGAAGCCCTCGTCAGAGTGTGCTGACCAGGAGCCTCCGCAGAGTCCCCGGCCTCGGATGACCGTCTCTGCTTCTCTCACTGGGTGAATGGACTTTTCCCTCCTCCGAAGCCCCCTTCCTTCACTCTCTGTTTGGCATCTTGCCTCCCAGGTCCATGCAGTCAAAGGAAGATCTTCAAAGTCACACACTGCCAACATTCTTTGGCATTAACGCTCTCTGAGCAAGTTCCATCAGGCCAAGAGGTTTCATGAACCCGTCAGCAGGTCTAACGCTGATCCCTGGAAGCGATTCGCTTTTTGTTCCTTTCTGAGAAAACCGAAGGGGTTTACTTTCACCATAATGCCAAAATAATAGCCAAAGACCTCACTAAAGTCAAGCTTAATTAAGTGAACTCTTTGGTTCCATTCCATGTTTAAAGGACTGCGTCGGAAGAAATTGTTTTGGAAACCTCCAATCTTTTGAAACAATGGTTCAGGCTCATGTCCCCGTAGATGACAACAAAGACATTTCCACATAAGTGCTGGGAAGTGAACAGTGCCTGGAGGAGCCACTGAAATGAGAAGCAGGGCATGAGAGTTTCTCTGTCATGTCATAAAATAATACTGGAAAAGAAGTGCAAGTTTTGTGCTCTAAATGTTTTGGACTTAAGAGTATAATATATATTTTTAAATCATCTCATTTACTATATTGAAATAAAATATTTGCTGTTAAAAAAATAAAAAAAATAACAACCAAAAAACATAATTTATACTCCAGACTTCTAAATTATTAGATTTACTTTGACTTTGGAACAAGGTAAGATTGTCCCTGTTTTTCTTATATAAGCTATTCAATGTTATTTTATTCTGAAAAATATCATGTTTAAAAGAAGCTTGGATTGAATGTCTTCTTATGTGGGTTTAATTAAATGCTGAAAAATAATACAATATATTCGCAGTGCAGTATAATAGTTCTTTTAACTGTGAGCTTGTTCTGCTTTGACGCTTCAAAGAATAAACACAACTCAAATCTGCACCAAATTAAAGGATATTGTGATGATTTTCTTGCTCTTCATGTTCGTTTTGTAATCCTCCGATTATTTATCTACAAATGGCTTGATTTTTTTTCCACAAGCGTCTTTTATTAGGACAAAACAAAACATGTTTTTTACATGGTTAAGAATATTTTAATGATATTAACATTAAAAGTCTTTGCTTTTTCAAAATATAAAAAAATGTCTCCCTCCACAGAAAGAGCTGTGTGGTTACATCAGAAACTTGCAAAGTTTCTTTTTTTTCGGTGTTAATTGACTTATTTTATTTTATTTTATTATTACCCATGCAAACAGTATTTTGCTTCCCAAACATAATGTAAGATTCCCTGGTCCTTTGAAACCCTAATACCACTTAACATCCAGGAATGTTACGTGAAGTCCTGCCTAAATAAGCCTACCCTGGAGCCTCGGTGTAAACCCCTCACAGTCTGCAGGGTCCCATTCCCACAGTCCACCATGAGAAATCACTCGGAGCAGACATCCTGACCACGCCAAGGCAGGTTCARTGCTCCGGCTGGGGCTTAGAGCTTGTTGTTTGTGCTCTGGTTTGAAGAACGGACAGAACTTTTGAGCTACACAGTAAAATGGTTTAAATTATTGGAGAGCTGAAACGTCTCTGATCACACAAACATTTAGACAACATTCCGCATTACTCTAATCATGCTAATTTATCCCAATCATCAGCACAAATGATCTAAAGTATGACTGGCTCACAGCACGCTGTAAGTGCGGGTATGTGGAAAAAAAATCTAGTTTAATAATATTAAAAGTATTTATTGAAGGTGTCTTTAATCATAATAGCTGTAAAGAGTTGATGGTGATGTCTTTCCTGCAAAATTAACCAACGGGATGTGAATCATTTTTTACTCGTTTCCGACTTTATGTTATGCTGATGAAAAACAATTGTCTTTTTTTATCTCACAGTGACTTGAGTATTTCACCTTGTAATTATAACCTAATATTCAAAGATTTTTTTCTCAAACTTTCAAAATACTTAGTTTTCCCAGTCTGATTTCTCCAGGCAGACACTCACAAGATTCTCTCACACAGACAGAAAGTCAGTGAACAGATGATTTGTGCTCAGATAAATCTGACAGTAATAAATCAGTTYGCCTCAGGGCATAGAAGACATAAAATCAGATTTATCAGCAAAGGTGTGAAAGCCAGTACTTGTAAAAGTGCATCAGTGCTCGTGCTTTAACAGACCTGTGGTACAAATCTCCCTTTCCACTAATAAATCTACAAACTGGAGAAACTTCCATAACATCATATGAATTCCATGCTTTTTTATGTCTTCATTTGACGTTTATTACTTTTTTTCAATGAATTGCTGGCATTATATTTAGGATATTTTTTTTTCATTCTTTGAAACTATGTAACAGAGCTGATGAAAGCACTGAAAATCGATGTATTTGTTTCTACTGAATAAATGTTCAAATGAATTTACAAGTCACAGATTTGAATTTTTTGTTGTCTTTTTTTTATAAAGCCTCCTAACATAATTGAAAGTTAGATTTTGTAACAACACATTCCATCCAACGATTCCACACCCATGATACGTTCTTCCTAGAATATTTTTCACATTATGTGATAGATGCTTTAATTGCATAAAAGCCAAAATAGTTTATGCAAACATAAAGCGAGCACATGTTGAAGGGAGCCTCGGAGGGACTGGAATTGTTTTGTCAAAGTTAAACCCAGCGGTGATAAAATTCAAGATTTATGACAAACTGGCCAACTGAGCTGTTGAAGAGGATTCAGGGCCCTGCTGAGTTATTCCTGTTTCAAATCCTAGGATGTTTTTTTTGAGTGACATTTAATCATGCACTGCTCATTGGGGACTAGACCCAAACCTCTTTTTTTAACGACAAATACATTTGTCACCTAATGATTTAATTAATCTGACTTTGAGAAGACATGAGGCAGCACTTTTTTCGGCTGTTGAGAAGTATTAGCACATGAATTTACGACGCGAGTTTTCAAATCAAATAACTATGTGTCAATGAAATGAAAAACAGACTAATTGGTTTTCACACCAAGCTACAAGTGGGGGTGGGGGTGGGGGGGCGTGTTGGAGCATGGATCAAGTATAATCTGGGAGGTTCTGTTCTTGGTTTGGTAAGTGCAGGAGCTGGAACTGGTGCAGACTCTTAAGTCATTCAGGACAAGATACTTTCATTTGAGCAASTTGCATTCAAAGCAGCTGGATTGGACTTTTTGATTCGTGAAGATGTTGCACTTCTTATCCAAAGTGCAATGTCAGCATGTTGGAGAGAAGCACGACGGAGACCAACAGGGAGGTAGAATTTCTGGGGACTTGGGCAAACGGCTTGCTAACTGAGCCTATAGAGCAACTGGTGTGTTGGCTGGATTAAAGCTGGTTGGTTTCGAAACCGTAACAGGTAGGAAGCCAAGAATTCAGAGCCTACAGCGATTTCCAATCAGGAAATAGTTTGTTCCACAAGACTGGAATGGAAAAATGCATTTTCCAATCATTTGCATTAAATCTTCAAACTGTAGCACAACAAAACACAATATAAATAATAAAAACATTTAAATATTTTCCAAACCAAAGACTTTACCAACCCAGCATAGCATGTAGAAATGACTTCAGCTGACTGTGAATATCTGTTTTACATACAAGTGAATTTGAATGCAGGATTTTTAACTAGGAAAAGAAAAAAGAAAAAACAACAACACAGAAAATAGTCTGTTTTGTTTTTCTTTTCTTTTTTCCCTATAAAAATCAGACATATGTTTGTCTTTGTTCTTTTTTTAATTGTTTTTCACATTTCTACCTTGTATGAATTGCCTGTCACTTTGCTGCTGATACACTTTAATTTCCCCACTGAGGGACAATAAATGTTTTTTCTATTCTTGTATTCTGAATTTTTTAGTTTGATTTAAATACAAACATTCGACAGTGTAGCTTGATTTTTGAGCAAACAGGGTGTCAAATCTTATTTAATCTTCATTGATTTTGACTGAATTCTAGTCAGTAAACAGAAAAAAAAAGATTATTTTTAAGAATGCAAGTCGCCACAACCTCACGTCAACCTTTTAAACAAAGAYATCTGTTAGTCTTTGTAGTATTTGTTTGAGGATGACTCTCAACAACCACCTGATTGAGATGTTTGTATTTTTGTGTTTGCTAACACTGATTTGCTGTGGTGGCCATAACTGAATGGGCTTGACCACAAAGGTTAATCAGAGATCCAAACTGTAAACATTTCATTAAAATCAGTCCTATAGGAGAAGTGTTGACAATTAACAAATAAATATATACATGCACACACAGATGCTCCCTTGTTCCCTGTCACTTATTAAATAAAAATAGTTTAAGAACTGTTAAGATCAAATAAATTTTTTTAGGTCTGWTAAAACATAAAGAATTGATCATCTGAAATAAAAATGAAATGGTTTTTAATAACCRTGCATCATAGTGATGTTTTAGTTTGTTTTATAAGATTCAACACATAAACTGAGCCTGAACACAGATAAATGACTTACAGGTTTTATTGCAAAACCAGACTTCAGGACTACGTGGGTCGTGGTTTGGATGAATAAAAAATTGCTGGAGACCGAGGCTCAGCCGGAGACGCTCAGTGAGAGCAACTGAGGAATGCAAATAAGCAGGTGGGATAATTTCAGTTAATGCTGAAGTTCACGTCAGAAAATAATAATCAAGAGTCACAACTACAAGCAGAAGCAGTTGCTTCTACAAACACACATTTGTATTTTTTTTTTTTACATTTCTAACTTTGACACCATTTTAAACACGAACAGCTGAGTAGCACAATCAAACAATATAAAATAATGTATGTTCATTAGTTGGATAATATTGCTACAGCTTTATGAGTTTGGTTCATTTTCACTGCTATAGGCTGTTAAAGATAGATCAGTAGAGGAAAATACAATAACACTCTCAAAAATAACACAAAATAGTGGCAACGTAGTGAGAGATTTGTAATGTGGGAAACTGAGTTAAGTGGTTAAAGTTATTTAGAAAACATTTGTAAAAAGTAAACAAATAATTGGCAAAAATCTGAACAAAACTTAAACCAGAAACTTTTTATAAAAAAGCAACCAGATGAACAGGAAACATAGATGTAAAGATCAGAAAAGCAATTTTCTTTTTTATCACAAAGAGATCAATACCTGATGCATTTATTCAAATAAACCAAATTTATTTGTTCTTTTGTGTTTTCTTTTTTCTTTTTTACCAGTTTTAATTTTAATAATTACCTATTATATTATATTCACAAAACAATGATGTATTAGTGAATTTTTTTATTGTTGGTGAAAAAAGGCTAGAGCAAATGGACCAAGTTTTTTTTAACTGCATTTCACTATAGGATTACTTACGGTAATTACCTGATGGCATTTTYATGGGCTTGTTTTATAAGCTGTCTCAGAGTTAAAGGGGTGGGGTGAAAATAGTTGTGATTCAAACAATGCAATAAAATGCYTTTGACTGGCATACTGACAAAAAACTGCACTATTTAGAAAATAAAAAAAGGAAAGAAAGAAAACAGAACAGAGCATCGACACTCAGTGTTAACTGTTTTATAGTTGTGAAAGTGTGTTTTAGAAGATTCAGACAATAACTCACCAGTCCCCCGAGGCACCATTCTGCTGAATTCTTTACCTCAAAGTTGAATCATGAAAATGACTTCACGGCAGGCAATAGTCAAATCTTCTCTCACTTCGGGGAGAGAATAACAAGCAAAAACTGGTTTTCTTCAGTGTGGAATGTGAAGAGAGCTTCCTATGAAACTATTCACACCTCACAAGTCACACTTGACCTCATCATTCACTGTTGCTAATGTTGCTGCAGGTTCCCATCCATCTATGCACATTAAAGTTCAATTATTTTAGCAAATACCTATATATACAGTGTTTCAAAGACAGTTTTTGCAGGACTTGTTAATGGTCCAGGACAAAATTCCCCGCGTCAAGTGCGCTTCAGACCGGTGGATTAATTTACAGAGACGTGTCCACCTGCAGGGTATGGACCACCTGTCTGGAGGCAGCTCCAAGGAGCAGGATTGCATGGCAGAAAGTCACAAGCACAACTTTTTACACCCCACAGTAGCTGAAACATGAAAGATAATAACWGTAAATTCTACAACAAAACGTACCAGCGGCATAGGGAGTGGTAATCCCATTTCCTCCCTTAGCTAAATGATCCATGTCTTTCGACGAGACTGCAGCAGATAACCTAAAGAACTCATTCACCCATAACAAAAATGTTTACAGTAAAACAAAACTGACTAAAAGATGAAAAAAACCCTGTAAATTTAAGCTATAACCTTAACAATCATGWGAGTAACTGCACTAAAAGAGAGCTTTAGGGGAAAATTCTTCATTAGCAAGAATAAAAAAAAACTATTTATGCTTTTGAAGTCAAGCTTGTCAGATTGATATACCCACAGGGTGCAGAGAAGTGTTTGAAGGTGCACCAGCGCATGTCGTAACACCGCACCTGGTGAGAGTAGATGTCATTATGCATAATGACTCTTGACAGAAGTTATTAACATTTAGATCTGATTAATGATTCTCCCAACAGCTCTATAATGATCTATTTTGATGCATTTCACATCAGCGGGACGTGCACAATTTTGAAGAAATGTCAATTGTCGCAGATGAGCTTCAGTTTCAGTCCACTGTGGTCACGTGGTCTTACAGGAACTCGTTTTTTTTGTGGAAGAACATCAACGAGAAAGACTGTTTCTTCCTTTTTGTGTCCCGTGGAACGGGAGCAAAGAGGAGCCTGGTTGCAGGCAAGGAATTCCTACATCAGTAACAATTGATGGGATTCGCTGATTATGATGTTGTGTGTCACTGTCAACACACCAGGTAGCAGAGTAGAGTGAATTATGTAAGCAGAAAAAAAGTACACATAAACACCTAGTTCTTGCCATTTAGATTTATAAAAAGGTGATCAACAACCAGATTAATGTCAGTGTAAATAATTTTTGTGATAGGTTTTTTTGGGGTCTATACCTCTATTCTCAAGTACTCATGTTCCCAAGTACACAATAAGTTTCCCAATACCCACGTTCTTTGGTATATACTGTAAGTTTCCCAATACCTTTGTTTCCCGATTCCTTTGCGCCCCAGTACTTTTGTTCCCGAATACCTGTGTTCCTCTATACCTATATTCTCAGTACCTATGTTCCTCAGTACCTTCCCAGTATGTTTCTTGATACGTATGTTCCCCAAAACTGTTCCTCATTACATATGTTTCATGGTACTTATGTTCCACAGTACTTTTGTTCCAGGATACATATGTTGACCAATACCTATGTTCCCCAAAATGGTTCTTCATACATATTTCCTGGTACCTATGTTCCACAGTACTTTTGTTCCATGATACCTATGTTTCCCAATACAATATACTGTATGTACCTCTGTTCTTTGGTACCTGGTTTCCCAATGCCTATGTTCCCC